TTTATGTTTTTAATGTTTGTTGTGAATCGCCCAGAGTTCCCCCATTGGGGGGGGTTGGGGGGGTGAAAAATTAAATAAATAAATAAATAAATAAATAAATAAATGGCTTCCAGTCACCAATAATGTAGATAGTGTCTTTTCTCTAATCAAAGAAGTCAATTTATCCCTTTCAGCAAAATCTATCAACTTCACCAACCATTCCTCCATAATGGATAGTGTTGAATCTTTCCATGTCTGTGCATATAGCAATCTCACCGCAGTAATCATATATTGAAATAATGATGAAGTTCACATAACATCTATTTATAGTTATAGTAAATGAAGTGAAATCAGAACTGTTCCCTGCAAAGTAATGAAATGGAGATTATGATTTGCAGCACATTCCCCAGTAACATAATATAACTATTTATGGGAGAAGGGGGCGATGTTTTGTTTTTAAAAATGGAGGTAGTTTTTACTTAATGAATTCTTGTTAATTGCAATTGAGCCAATACTTTATTTTTCAAAAGCTTTTGCAGTAGAATTTCAAGTTTCTATCATTTGCAAATCTAATTAAGACCTGGTAAATTAAATTGAGCACTCAGCCAGCAGATTGTTCACGCTTTGGGTGTGGTCAATTTTATTATTTGGAAAAAAATGTTAATCATCTCTTTACATTTTCTTTGCCCAGAGGCTTTCATGTAAAAAAGTATGACATCAACTCTAATTAGCTGTTCACATTTGCAGAAGTTATAGCATCAATCTACCCTAACTTATTAACAGAAAATACCAAGAAATTGTTACTGTATTGTAATGAGTTTGAAAACTATGCAAGGCAGAAATGGAAGGTGGCCAGAGGAAACAATCCTGACTTTTTTTCATACACATGACATCCATTAAATCATATGTATGTTGCTACTTGCAGTCGCTAAGAGTGAACACCAACTTGATGGCACATAGTCGATGTTGTTACTTGCTATGGCAAATCTTGATCCAAATTAAAATAACATGAAATAATGGTTTATTAAACAAATATTTCTACAGTTATAGAAAAAGAAACTAATTTTGACAATAAGTTTTGTTTTCACATCTAAAACAGAGGTGTGCAATGCTTTGAATTCAGTTCTGAAAGGGTGCTTCCAAATGTATAGGAAAATGAATGCAATACCACTAGTAATTGATTAAAGCAGCAGCATCTTTTCTCAGATTGTGTGACTACTACAGGAACTGCCATCTGGCTTCTGGTGCAGCCATGCTGTCCTGCAAACAGGAGTTGCCAACAGGTGCTGTGTTCATGAACCTGCATGGTCTGAAACACCATTTTGGAAACAAATCTAAATCATTACATGGTGCTGTTCTAAAGTCTGCAAAAAGAAATCAGCAATAAAAGGCTCCTAAAGAACCATGGTTCTGTTCTTTACACTTAATGATAGAATAAGATGTATGCTATTTTAAAAGTCTGGCTCAAAATAATGTGTGTTTCTTAAAACATAAATAAAAGAAATATGTAATATATGCCACCTCTCTCTACTTTAGGAAGCATTCCAGTATTAATAAATATTTACAGCCAATATTCTCTTGAGTATTTTTGTTGCCAGAAATTCCCATTAAACCATTTTTCTTGACCATAGTAGGAATGCTGTGATTCCCCCCACGCCCAAACAGCAAAATATAGTAGGTCAGATCAAGGATAAAGCTGGAGGGAAAAGAATTTGGGAAATAAGGATCTCAAGAATAAACAAAATGGGCCTTTGTAGGGTAAATGGAGGGTTCCAAACTGAAAACAAGGATTTGTTTGTTTGTTTGTTAGTTTCAAACATTTACATATCTACCCAGCTTGTACCAAACTCTGGGCAGCTCACAACCAAATCATTGTAAAATCATACAAAAGGAAAGAAGAAGCTTTTTACAGACTTTATTTTGTGGGACATACTGAGGAAATCATGGCTGATCTATGAAATAAGGACATGGCTCAGATGGTAGACAGCATAATTCCTCAAAATACTCTTCCCTTTCACAGAGCCAACTCAACCACTTGATTTAATAATAACCCAAATATGAATAAGCAGAAGGAATAATAGCTTTAGTGTGAATGGAAGACATCTCAGAGTGAATTGGATCAAGCAAAGTCAAAAACATATTTGTATTCTATGTTTACTTTTCTGCCTTCATTGCATTGACATAAAATAGGCTGGAACTACACATGTACCATATTCGTTCAGAATGTGAAGGGTGGGGAGTCCAAACAATTAATAATTTATGTGAACATTTCTTTGCAAACAAAGCCTTTTCATTCTTTGCAGATAAAGTTCTCTCAGTGTTAACTCCAACACTGAGGCAAGATTATTGCAACCATTTGTCCAATTGTTTTGAGATGTCTTCAGCTTGTGGATCTTGAAAATATGTGTTATACCTGTTTGTTCAATTCTTGCCCCTCCTGGCTGATTATGTTAGCTAGGGAAGGACTGACCCTGATTGAGGGAGGTAATTAAAGAAGGCAGTGGTAAGACTTTTACTAAAGAAACCTTTCACTAATTGATTGGAAAACACAATTCTTCTGAGAAAGTGATGGCTTTGCAAAATTGATGAATGATTTCAGTTATTTCAGACTTATTT